ACACACAAACACCCAGCCACACACAAACACCCAGCCACACACCCAGCCACACACACAAACACACAGCCACCCAGCCACACACCCAGCCACACACACACCCAGCCACCCAGCCACCCAACCACACACACAAACACCCAGCCACACACACAAACACCCAGCCACACACAAACACCCAGCCACACACCCAGCCACACACACAAACACACAGCCACCCAGCCACACACCCAGCCACACACACACCCAGCCACCCAGCCACACACACAAACACCCAGCCACACACACAAACACCCAGCCACACACAAACACCCAGCCACACACCCAGCCACACACACAAACACACAGCCACACAGCCACACACCCAGCCACACACCCAGCCACACACACAAACACACAGCCACACACACAGCCACACACCCAGCCACACACACAAACACACAGCCACACAGCCACACACCCAGCCACACACCCAGCCACACACACAGCCACACAGCCACACACCCAGCCACACACCCAGCCACACACACAAACACCCAGCCACACACCCAGCCACACACACAAACACACAGCCACACAGCCACACACCCAGCCACACACCCAGCCACACACACAAACACACAGCCACACACCCAGCCACACACACAAACACACAGCCACACAGCCACACACCCAGCCACCCAACCACCCAGCCACCCAGCCACACAGCCACACACCCAGCCACACACACACCCAGCCACCCAGCCACACACCCAGCCACACACCCAGCCACACACACAAACACAGCCACCCAGCCACACACCCAGCCACACACACAGCCACACACACAGCCACACACACAGCCACCCAGCCCACACACACAAACACACAGCCACACACACAAACACACAGCCACACACACAAACACACAGCCACACACACAAACACACAGCCCACACACCCAGCCACACACACAAACACAGCCACCCAGCCACACACACAGCCACACACCCAGCCACCCAGCCACCCAGCCACCCAGCCACCCAGCCACACACACAGCCCACACACAAACACCCAGCCACACACACAGCCACCCAGCCCACACACCCAGCCACACGCACAGCCACCCAGCCACACACACAAACACACAGCCACCCAGCCACCCAGCCACACACCCAGCCACACACCCAGCCACACACCCAGCCACACACCCAGCCACACATACAAACACACAGCCACCCAGCCCACACACCCAGCCACACAGCCACACACACAGCCACACACCCAGCCACACACCCAGCCACACAGCCACCCAGCCACCCAGCCACACACCCAGCCACACACCCAGCCACACACACAGCCACACAGCCACACACCCAGCCACCCAGCCCGCACACAGCCACACAGCCACCCAGCCACCCAGCCCACACACAGCCACCCAGCCACACAGCCACCCAGCCACCCAGCCACACACCCAGCCACACACACAGCCACCCAGCCACACACACAAACACCCAGCCACACAGCCACCCAGCCCACACACACAAACACCCAGCCACACAGGCACCCAGCCCACATACACAAACACACAGCCACCCAGCCACACACACAGCCACACACCCAGCCACCCAGCCACCCAGCCCACATACACAAACACACAGCCACCCAGCCACACACACAGCCACACACCCAGCCACCCAGCCACCCAGCCCACATACACAAACACACAGCCACCCAGCCACCCAGCCACACACCCAGCCACACACACAGCCACACACACACAGCCACACAGCCACACACCCAGCCACCCAGCCCACACACCCAGCCACCCAGCCACACACCCAGCCACACACCCAGCCACACACACAGCCACCCAGCCCGCACACACAAACACACAAACACAACGCGTAGCCCTTCAACACACCGCAGGATGACGGTGGCTGTTCGTAGTAGCGAGCGGCGAGCGGCGACAGCGGCCAAAGTGAAGGCGACCGGGCGCTGTGGCAAGGTGGGGGAGTGTGGGGGGGGGGAGGGGATGGTGGGGGGGGGATGGTGGGGGGGCCGGCGGCTACCCCGGCACCGGCCCCGGCACCGGCCCCGGCACGGGCACCGGGCGGCCTCCACCATGCAACCGCCCACCGCTAACGTGTCAGCTACGTCGCCTTCTCGGCTCTTTCGGTACGGTCACGGGGGAAGGGGGGAACGGTGACGTAATAAAAAAAAACTTAAAACATCGTGAGATTAATCGAAATGTAAATATATTTTTTTTTTTTAAAAAGGGAGCTACTTCCGTTGTGGGAGTCCGCTTAGGTCAGGGGCTGGGGAAACTTGCCGGGCCCGCGGAATCATTTGGCCTCCGTGGCCCTGGCCAAGGGCAACCGGAATTTTTAATGAATCTAGGAGAGCAAAGCGTGGAAAAGCGGTCTGCGGGCAGCGGCGGCGGCGGCGGCGGCCAAACATCATCACCGCACTCCTCGCCGAGGAGGAGGAGGATGAGGAGGAGGAGGATGAGGAGGAGGAGGAGGAGGATGAGGACGAGGAGAAGGAGGATCAGGATGAGGAGGAGGATGAGGATGAGGAGGAGGATGAGGAGGAGGATCAGGATGAGGAGGAGGATGAGGAGGAGGATGAGGATGAGGAGGAGGAGGAGGATGAGGAGGATGAGGAGGAGGATGAGGATGATGAGGATGAGGAGGAGGATGAGGAGGATGAGGAGGAGGAGGAGGATCAGGATGAGGAGGAGGAGGATGAGGAGGAGGATGAGGATGAGGAGGAGGATGAGGAGGAGGATGAGGAGGATGAGGATGAGGAGGAGGATGAGGATGAGGAGGAGGATGAGGATGAGGAGGATGAGGAGGAGAAGGAGGATCAGGATGAGGAGGAGGATGAGCATGAGGAGGAGTTGCCAGCCCATCGCAATTAGGGGGCGAGCAAATCAAATGTTGGACGAAAATATATAACGGGCAAAAACATTTTTTTTGACAATAGGGGGTTTTTCTCTCTCACTCGCCTTTTTTTTGCCCCGCCGGCAAAACTGGAACCTTTTTTTTATGTTTTTGACGAGGATTCATATCTGCTGCATTAACCACAGTACCTGCGGTCAAAATGCAAACAAAATACAACCTACCGTGATAATATATAAACGTGGCATTGTCCTTGAAACTGATTGGTCCACACCAAGGGACGGCTTTCTTTTGAGCCTCGACCCAATTGGTGCTCGGCCACGTGACGTCAAAAGACGTCACACAGCTCAGAGACAATGCCGCTATCAAAGTAATGAGGCGCTCGGGGTGAGCATCTACATCATCATTAGACCTCCTTTGTCAGTACCAAAATATAAGAATAATAATAGGGTTTTTCCCCTTTTTTCTAGCAACAAAACTGAAACCTTTTTAACAAGGATTCATATCTACTGCATTAACCACAGTACCTGCGGTCAAAATGCAAACAAACAACATACTATGAAAATATAAACGTGGTATTGTCCTTGAAACTGATTGGTCCACAGCAAGGGACGGCTTTCTTTCGAGCCTCGACCCAATTGGTGCTCGGCCACGTGACGTCAAAAGACGTCACACAGCTCAGAGACAATGCCGCTATCAAAGTAATGAGGCGCTCGGGGTGAGCATCTACATCATTAGACCTCCTTAAAAGTACCAAAATGTAATAATAATAGGGTTTTTCCCCTTTTTTCTGGCAACAAAACGGAAACCTTTTTAACAAGGATTCATATCTACTGCATTAACCACAGTACCTGCGGTCAAAATGCAAAAAAAACCAACACACTATGATAATATAAACGTGGCATTGTCCTTGAAACTGATTGGTCCACAGCAAGGGACGGCTTTCTTTTGAGCCTCTACCCAATTGGTGCTCGACACAGCTCAGAGACAATGCCGCTATCAAAGTAATGAGGGCTCGGGGTGAGCATCTAAAATGTTGAAGTTGATGAGTTCGTATGGCCCACGAATGATGTTATGTAAATATCCGAATGGCACTTGACAGAAACACAGGTTCCTCCACCCCTGGCCTGGAGTGAGGCCCGGGACCGGTTCAGGTTAATCGTCCCAACGGCGTTGATGGCCGTGAGAAGGAATCGAGTTTGTGGCGCAGCGTGGCACTGTGTGTGTCACTGTGTGTGTCACTGTGTGTGTCACTGTGTGTTTCACTGTGTCACTGTGTGTGTCACTGTGTGTGTGTGTCACTGTGTGTGTGTGTCACTGTGTGTGTGTGTCACTGTGTGTGTGTCACTGTGTGTGTCACTGTGTGTGTGTGTGTGTCACTGTGTGTGTGTGTCACACTGTGTGTGTGTGTCACTGTGTGTGTGTCACCGTGTGTGTGTCACACTGTGTGTGTGTCACACTGTGTGTGTCACTGTGTGTGTCACTGTGTGTGTGTGTGTCACTGTGTGTGTCACTGTGTGTGTGTGTCACTATGTGTGTGTCACTGTGTGTGTCACTGTGTGTGTGTTTCACTGTGTGTGTGTCACTGTGTGTGTGTGTCACTGTGTGTGTCACTGTGTGTGTGTGTCACTGTGTGTGTCACTGTGTGTGTGTTTCACTGTGTGTGGCGCTGTGTGTGTCACTGTGTGTGTGTGTGGCGCTTTGTGTGTGTGTGTATCACCGTGTGTATCACTGTGTGTGTGTCACTGTGTGTGTCACTGTGTGTGTGTCACTGTGTGTGTGTCAGTGTGTGTGTCAGTGTGTGTGTCAGTGTTGTGTGTGTCACTGTGTGTGTGGCGCTGTGTGTGTGTCAGTGTGTGTGTGTCAGTGTTGTGTGTGTCACTGTGTGTGTGTCAGTGTGTGTGTGTGTCACACTGTGTGTGTCACACTGTTTGTGTGTCACTGTGTGTGTGGCGCTGTGTGTGTGTCAGTGTGTGTGTGTCAGTGTTGTGTGTGTCACTGTGTGTGTGTCAGTGTGTGTGTGTGTCACACTGTGTGTGTCACTGTGTGTGTCACTGTGTGTGTCACTGTGTGTGTCACTGTGTGTGTGGCACTGTGTGTGTGTCAGTGTGTGTGTGTCAGTGTTGTGTGTGTCACTGTGTGTGTGTCAGTGTGTGTGTGTGTCACACTGTGTGTGTCACACTGTGTGTGTGTCACTGACGGTGATGCACAGCACGTTGGCGAGCGCGAAGACGTTGCCCACGTAGTCAAAGTAGCGGTGACGACAAACTCTCTGCAGGAGCACGAGGAGGCGATGATCGTACTGAGGGGCACTGGGGACCTGGCACAGTGACACACAGTGACACACACACACACAGTGACGCACACAGTTACACACACACACACACACAGTGACACACACACAGTGACACAGTGACACACACAGTGACACAGTGACACACACAGTGACACAGTGACACACACAGTGACACACACACACAGTGACACACACACACACACAGTGACACACACAGTGACACACACACAGTGACACAGTGACACACACACACAGTGACACACACACACAGTGACACACACAGTGACAACAACAACAACCGCCATTCGCCACTAAGTGGCGGTGACATCACCACGACGCTTGTGCCAGGCTATGTGCACCCTGAGGCCACGTGAAGTGTCGAACGCCCGCTGGCAGGAGGTCACGGGGCAGACCCAGGTGCCACGGGTCGACTGACTGAGATGACTGGCTGATGCACCACCTGTGCCCCTACTGTGCCAACCTGCTGTGCTTTAGCCACCCGGCGTTCCGCTCGTTGTTCTGAGCGTCGCTCCTCCGCCCTCCGTTGTTGTTGGAGGGCGACTGCCTCCAACTACCCAGTAGCATCCTTCACGAGCCTCCTCCACAGAGGCCGATCTTGACACCGCTGGTACCAGTCATCGGCAAGTCCACTCATCTCCACGTCCTCCTGTACCACATCACTCCATCTCTTCTCTAGCCCGTGCCGCGCCCGCTTAGCCCCCTCAATCCGGCCAAACAAAAGCTGTTTCGGCATGTGGTGGCTGGGCATGCGGGCTACATGACCCAGCCATCGCAGCCTTGCCTGCCGGAGGAGCTCACTGATGGGACCTTTCCCAGATCTTTCAAGGATTTGTGAGCTCCTCACACAATCCAGTCCGGTTAAACCCAGGATGGATCGTAGACAGGCCAGCCTAAATGTTTCTAACCGGCGAAGATGTTCCATTAGGGGGGTCCACGTTTCGCAAGCGTAGAGAAGGTAGGGAATGACCGCGGCCGAGAAGACCTGAAGCTAAGTGCGGAGCGACAGACCATGTAGCTTCCACACAGTGTTACACAAACGATGAAAAGATATTGCCACTCGACTGATTCGGAGTGAGACCTCTGCTGTTAAACTGGAGCCGGTCATAGGCACACTGCCCAGGTATGGGAAACTCTCCACTTTCTCCACAACTGCCCCATCACCAATTGGGAGTTGTGGGGGTGGAGTGTCCGATGGTACAAAATACCCAGGCAGGTGCTTAGTTTTGGTGGGGCTGATGGTAAGGCCCCATCTCTTAGTGGCACGCTCCAGTCTCAGCAGCAGCGTCTCCAACTCCTCCTCTGACTGAGCAGCTATTACCAAATCATCAGCATACATAACGTGTTTGAGCAATAGGGAGCCATCCCTTGACCGCACCTGGGCATCTATCAGCCTCCCATTATATATGTACCAAATGGAGATTCCCCCGGTACAGCTATTAAAGGCTTCACGAACTACGTGGTCAAAATAGATGTTTAATAATGTGGGAGCCAGAGGACATCCCTGTCGCACCCCAAGGTGTACAGGGAATGGCTCTGACTCCAGGCCACGTAGTTTTACCCGGGCCTGCTCATCATCATGAAGGTCCTTAATGATCGTGAGCAGAGGGTCAGATACTCCAAAAGCACGAAGAACGACCCAGAGCCCAGGGCTACTGATGGTATCATAGGCCTTGACCAGGTCAATAAAGCAGAGATGTAGGTCTTGTTGGAATTCCCTACACCTCTGCTGTAGCAGACGGACAGAAAATATGGCATCTGTGCAGGACCGCCCTTTCCTGAAACCGCATTGGGGCTCCGCAAGCCTCTCCTTAGCGTGCCTGGCAAGGCGATGATGAATAATCCTTGCCAGGACCTTTCCCGGCACACTGAGGAGTGAGATGCCCCTGTAGTTGTTACAGTCTGTGCGGTCCCCCTTCTTAAAGAGGGGGACCACCAGGGCATCCTTCCAATCCTGCGGAACCCCCCGTCCAGTGGTCCAGACTGTTGTTATGAAGTCATATAGGGCAGTCTGTGTACAAACGCCACCCTCCCTCAGCATTTCGCTTGGGAGATCATCTCTGCCCGGTGCCTTTCCAGGTCTCAGACTCCGGATCGTCTTCAGTACTTCCTCAACAGATGGCACTTCAGCCAGCCACTCACAGGGGGTGACTTCCTCCAATATTTGAGGCACCGCAGCCTCAGCAGGGTTATCCCCACTTTGTGTCATGATGTTTTCCTGGCTGAGAGATTTCCCCTCCCCCAGGACCTCACAGAAATGCTCAGCAAATCTCCAAACCTGTTCCTGGGGGTCGGAGATTGGATCACCGTTTTTTTCCCCTAATGATGGTAATGGGTGTGGTGCTGCAGGTTACTTTTTTGATGGAGTTAAATAGAGATTTGTGATCGCGGGCCACTAAGGCAGATTCCATCTCCTCAGCAACCCGCGAACACCACCCATCCTTGCAGCGCCTCACGGCTCTCCGAATCTCCGAGCGAAGGCTGCGGTAAGCCTCCTCATTCTCTTATGTGGGATTCTGTAGCCGATGACAGTGGGCCTGTCGCTTTTTCTCAACTATCCTGAACACCTCCTCTGTCAGCCAGGGACTCTGGGGAGGTCTGGACCACGTGCCCAAAGCAGCCATTGCAGCTGCATGAGTCGCAGTCCTAAACCTCGTCCATTTACCCTTGACATCAGGAGTGGGGGATGATGCCAACCCCAGCCGCAAGCGATGATGAAATTCTCGCTTGCAACTTTAATCAGATAACTGAGACCAGGCCACTTTAGGTTGGAATGGGGTCCTGGGTATACACCCACCACAGGAGTGGAAGAATGGCAGGCGCATCTTACAGATGACTAGTCGATGGTCAGAGGGCAGATCAGCTCCACAGTAGGTCCTGGTGTCAAGGACATGGGCTCGCATCCGCTGGTCCGTCACTATGTCGTCCAGCAGATGTTCTTGCTTGGACCCGGCATGCATCCATGATGTTGTGTGGATGCGCCGATGCCGGAACAGCGTGTTGGTAATTACAAGCCCATGGGCTGCACAAAAATCTAGCAGCCTCCTAGCGTTGTTATTGAGCTGATCTGGCCCATGGCCTCCAATCACTCCAGACCAGGTGCCAGCATCTTGACCATCTCAGGCATTGAAGTCACCCAACAAGATGACTATCCCAAGGGGCCACTTTAGCCAGCACCTGTGACAGGAGGTCATAGAAGGCATCTGACTCATCGGCTTTGCCTGCATCCCTCCACGGATGTTCATCTTCAGTGGGGGCATAAGTAACCACGACCACCACTCCTCGCCTCCGGTTGATGGGAATGCGAGCCCAAAGTAGCCTGGGGCTTACAGCTTCCCACACCTCACCGCCACGCTCCCACGCCCCCTTCATTATTTTGTTCAAAAGAAGAGCCACACCCTGTTGTTTGGCAGTCTGCTGCCCCGAGTAGAGGACTGTCCACCCCTCATGGTGGCAGGAGCCATAACCGGTCCACCGGGCCTCCTGAACGCCACAGAGATCCAGGCGGTACTGGTCCAGCTCCCGACAGAGGAGTGGCAGCCTCTCCTCCGCAGTGAGCGTTCGAACATTCCACGTGGCCACATGAGTGGCTTTTCGTTGTTTCTGGAGGAGCCCCGAGGGTAGAGATTCAATCTCCTGGCTCCGCCAATTGGGGTTTGGCCAGGAGACGTCATAGACGCCTGTTCCCCTGGGGCCTCCGGCACAAGCTTATTAGTAAAAAATTGTATTCGTGGTTTCGTAGTAAAAATGTTGAAGGTGGAGGGGTTACCAGCCCCTCGCACCCGTTCAGAGCCCCCGTTTAGCCACTGTGGTGGTCACAGACGCCATGAGAGGAGGGCCAATCGGATTTGGCCCTCCCCCCACAGCACTGTCCACGACAGAGTTTCCCGTCCCCCAGGAAGTAGTCGTCCCTCTTGTCAGTGACACACACAGTGGCACACACACAGTGGCACACACACAGTGACACACACACAGTGACACACACACAGTGACACACACACAGTGACACACACACACACACAGTGTCACACACACACAGTGACACACACACACACACAGTGTCCACACCTCCTTCACGGTGTCTTTGTCCATCTCCTCGAAGATTTTCTGGAACGTCTCAGAGGAAATGGAGCCGTCGCCCACGCCACTCAGATGCTGCTCGCACGCACAACACAAACAACAACAACAAAACAACAACACAAACAACAACAACAAAACAACAACACAAACAACACGGTCAACAACACAAACAACAACACAAACAACACAAACAACAACACAAACAACAACAACAAAAACAACAACAAAAACAACAACACAAACAACAACACAAACAACACGGTCAACAACACAAACAACAACAACACAAACAACACAAACAACAACAACAAAAACAACAACAAAAACAACAACACAAACAACAACACAAACAACAACACAAACAACAACACAAACAACAACAAAACAACAACACAAACAACAACACAAACAACAACAAAAACAACAACACAAACAACAACACAAACAACAACACATACAACAACACAAACAACAACAACACAAACAACAACACGGTCAACAACAACAACACAAACAACAACACAAACAACAACACAAACAACAACACAAACAACAACAACAAAAACAACAACACAAACAACAACACAAACAACAACACAAACAACAACACAAACAACAACAACAAAACAACAACACAAACAACAACACAAACAACAACAACACAAACAACAACAACACAAACAACAACACAAACAACAACACAAACAACAACACAAACAACAACACAAACGTCAACACAAACAACAACACAAACAACACAAACAACAACACAAACAACAACAACGCAAACAACAACGCAAACAACAACACAAACAACAACACAAACAACAACACAAACAACAACACAAACAACAACAACACAAACAACAACACGGTCAACAACACAAACACAAACAACACAAACAACAACACAAACAACAACAACAAAAACAACAACACAAACAACAACAACACAAACAACAACAACACAAACAACAACACGGTCAACAACACAAACAACAACAACAAAACAACAACACAAACAACAACACAAACAACAACACAAACAACAACACAAACAACACAAACAACAACACAAACAGCAACACAAACAACAACACAAACAACACAAACAACAACACAAACAACACAAACAAGAACACAAACAACAACAACACAAACAACAACACAAACAAGAACACAAACAACAACACAAACAACAACACAAACAACAACACAAACAACAACAACATGGTCAACATAAACAACACAAACAACAACACGGGCAACAACAACAACACAAACGTCAACACAAACAACAACAACATGGTCGATATCACCAACGCTAAGACTGCTGCCGCGTGGATCTGTACCCTAGGGGCACCCCCAGCGGCAGTTGCCCCTGTGCGTGAGTTCACCTCCGACACCAGCTGACAGTGATGCCGCGTGGATCTGTACCCTAGGGGCACCCCCAGCGGCAGCTGCCCCTGCGCGATAAGTCTGGGCAACTCTGGGCTGGCTAAAAATGTTTCATTCAATTTAAAAAAAACATTTTTTTTTTAAGTTTGTTCTGATCTAGGGGGACGGTTCTCGTGCCAACCGCGCCGCGCCCTGGACGCCCCTGAAGTTGCCGGGCATCTGTTCACAAAAAAAGTTAAATCAAGAGCTTGACAAGCCGGCGAGATTCCTCCTCGAGCACCAGTTACAGCACCAGTGGCGGAGTCCCGCCGACGAACGTTTACCGGGCAGGCCGAGAGATTCCAACCACGCACGGTGTAGTGGTGGTGTAGTGGTGGTGGTGTAGTGGTGGTGGTGTAGTGGTGGTGTAGTAGTGGTGGTGTAGTGGTGGTGGTGTAGTGGTGGTGGTGTAGTGGTGGTGTAGTGGTGGTGGTGGTGTAGTGGTGGTGGTGTAGTGGTGGTGTAGTGGTGGTGTAGTGGTGGTGGTGTAGTGGTGGTGCAGTGGTGGTGGTGGTGTAGTGGTGGTGGAGGTGGTGGTGTAGTGGTGGTGTAGTGGAGTGGTGGTGGTGTAGTGGTGGTGGTGTAGTGGTGGTGTAGTGGTGGTGGTGTAGTGGTGGTGTAGTGGTGGTGGTCTAGTGGTGGTGGTAGTGGTGGTGTAGTGGTGGTGGTGTAGTGGTGGTGCAGTGATGGTGGTGGTGTAGTGGTGGTGGAGGTGGTGGTGTAGTGGTGGTGTAGTGGTGGTGGTAGAGTGGTGATGGTGTAGTGGTGGTGGTGTAATGGTGGTGGTGTAGTGGTGGTGTAGTGGTGGTGTAGTGGTGGTGGTGTAGTGGTGGTGCAGTGGTGGTGGTGGTGTAGTGGTGGTGGTGGTGTAGTGATGGTTGAGGTGGTGGTGTAGTGGTGGTGGTGTAGTGGTGGTGTAGTGGTGGTGGTGTAGTGGTGGTGTAGTGGTGGAGGTGTAGTGGTGGTGGTGTAGTGGTGGTGGTGTAGTGGTGGTGTAGTAGTGGTGGTGTAGTGGTGGTGTAGTGGTGGTGGTGTAGTGGTGGAGGTGTAGTAGTGGTGTAGTGGTGGTGGTGTAGTGGTGGAGGTGTAGTGGTGGTGGTGTAGTGGTGGTGTAGTGGTGGTGGTGTAGTGGTGGTGGTGTAGTGGTGGTGGTGTAGTAGTGGTGGTGGTGTAGTGGTGGTGTAGTGGTGGTGGTGTAGTGGTGGTGGTGTAGTAATGGTGGTGTAGTGGTGGTGTAGTAGTGGTGGTGTAGTGGTGGTGTAGTGGTGGTGGTGTAGTGGTGGTGTAGTGGTGGTGGTGTAGTAGTAGTGGTGGTGTAGTGGTGGTGTAGTGGTGTAGTAGTGGTGGTGGTGTAGTGGTGGTGGTGTGGTGGTGGTGTAGTGGTGGTGTAGTGGTGGTGTAGTGGTGGTGGTGTAGTAGTGGTAGTGGTGTAGTGGTGGTGGTGTAGTAATGGTGGTGGTGTAGTGGTGGTGTAGTAGTGGTGGTGTAGTAGTGGTGGTGGTGTAGTGGTGGTGGTGTAGTGGTGGTGTAGTGGTGGTGGTGTAGTGGTGGTGTAGTGGTGGTGGTGTAGTAGTGGCAGTGGTGTAGTGGTGTAATAGTGGTGGTGTAGTGGTGGTGTAGTAGTGGTGGTGTAGTGGTGGTGGTGTAGTGGTGGTGGTGTAGTGGTGGTGTAGTGGTGGTGGTGTAGTGGTGGTGGTGTAGTAGTGGTGGTGGTGTAGTGGTGGTGGTGTAGTGGTGGTGTAGTAGTGGTGGTGGTGTAGTAGTGGTGGTGGTGTAGTGGTGGTGTAGTGATGGTGGTGTAGTGGTGGTGGTGTAGTGGTGGTGGTGTAGTAGTGGTGGTGTAGTGGTGGTGTAGTAGTGGTGGTGTAGTGGTGGTGTAGTGGTGGTGTAGTGGTGGTGTAGTGGTGGTGGTGTAGTAGTGGTGGTGGTGTAGTGGTGGTGGTGTAGTGGTGGTGGTGTAGTAGTGGCAGTGGTGGTGGTGTAGTAGTGGTGGTGGTGTAGTGGTGGTGTAGTGGTGGTGTAGTGGTGTAGTAGTGGTGGTGGTATAGTGGTGGTGGTGTAGTGGTGGTGTAGTGGTGGTGTAGTGGTGGTGGTGAAGTGGTGGTGTAGTGGTGGTGGTGTGGTGGTGGTGTAGTGGTGGTGTAGTAGTGGTGGTGGTGTAGTGGTGGTGTGGTGGTGTAGTGGTGTAGTAGTGGTGGTGGTGTAGTGGTGGTGGTGTAGTGGTGGTGGTGGTGTAGTGGTGGTGGTGTAGTGGTGGTGGTGTAGTAGTGGTGGTGGTGTAGTAGTGGTGGTGGTGTAGTAGTGGTGGTGGTGTAGTGGTGGTGGTGTAGTGGTGGTGGTGTAGTAGTGGTAGTGGTGTAGTGGTAGTGGTGTAGTAGTGGTGTAGTGGTGGTGTAGTAGTGGTGGTGGTGGTGTAGTGGTGGTGGTGTAGTGGTGGTGTAGTGGTGGTGTAGTGGTGGTGGTGGTGTAGTGGTGGTGTAGTGGTGGTGGTGTAGTGGTGGTGGTGTAGTGGTGGTGTAGTGGTGGTGTAGTGGTGGTGTAGTGGTGTAGTGGTGGTGCAGTGGTAGTGGTGGTGCAGTGGTGGTGGTGGTGTAGTGGTGGTGGTCTAGTGGTGGTGGTGGTATAGTGGTGGTGGTGGTGTAGTGGTGGTGGTGGTGTAGTGGTGGTGTAGTGGTGGTAGTGCTGTAGTGGTGGTAGTGGTGTATAGTGAAGGTGGTGGTGGTGTAGTGGTGGTGTAGTGGTGGTGTAGTGGTGGTGTAGTAGTGGTGGTGTAGTAGTGGTGGTGGTGTAGTGGTGATGTAGTGGTGGTGTAGTAGTGGTGGTGTAGTAGTGGTGGTGGTGTAGTGGTGGTGGTGTAGTGGTGGTGGTGTAGTGGTGTAGTAGTGGCAGTGGTGTAGTGGTGGTGTAGTGGTGGTGTAGTGGTGGTGTAGTGGTGGTGGTGTAGTGGTGTAGTAGTGGCAGTGGTGTAGTGGTGGTGTAGTGGTGGTGTAGTGGTGGTGGTCTAGTGGTGGTGGTGTAGTGGTGTAGTAGTGGCAGTGGTGTAGTGGTGGTGTAGTGGTGGTGTAGTGGTGGTGGTGTAGTGGTGGTGGTGTAGTGGTGGTGGTGTAGTGGTGTAGTGGTGGTGGTGTAGTGGTGGTGTAGTGGTGGTGTTGTAGTGGTGGTGGTGTAGTGGTGGTGTAGTGGTGGTGGTGTAGTGGTGGTGTAGTGGTGGTGTAGTGGTGGTGGTGTAGTGGTGGTGTAGTGGTGGTGTTGTAGTGGTGGTGGTGTCAGTACCTGGATCATCGCCTTGCGGTGTGCAGAGTCGACGCTGATCGTGCGCAGAACTCGCATCACCAGCGCCCCCGTCACGCTCTCCCTGTAACACACAGTACACACACACAGTACACACACAGTACACACACAGTACACACAGTACACACACAGTACACACAGTACACACACACAGTACACACACAGTACACACACAGTACACACACACAGTACACACACAGTACACACAGTACACACACACAGTACACACACACAGTACACACACAGTACACACACACAGTACACACAGTACACACACACAGTACACACACAGTACACACACACAGTACACACACACACACAGTACACACACACACACAGTACACACACAGTACACACACAGTACACACACAGTACACACACACAGTACACACACAGTACACACACACACACAGTACACACACAATACACACACAGTACACACACACAGTACACACACACACACAGTACACACAGTACACACACACAGTACACACACAGTACACACACAGTACACACACACAGTACACACAGTACACACACAGTACACAAACAGCACACACACACAGTACACACACAGCACACACACACAGTACACACAGTACACACAGTACACACACACAGTACACACACAGTACACACAGTACACACACAGTACACACACAGCACACACACATAGTACACACACAGCACACACACACAGTACACACACAGTACACACAGTACACACACACAGTACACACACAGTACACACAGTACACACACACAGTACACACACAGTACACACACACAGTACACACACAGTACACACACACAGTACACACACAGTACACACACACAGTACACACACAGTAAACACACAGTACACACACACAGTACACACAGTAGACACAGTACACACACACAGTACACACACAGTACACACACACTCTACACACACACACAGTACACACACAGTACACACACACAGTACACACACACAGTACACACACACACAGTACACACACAGTACACACACAGTACACACACAGTACACACACACACAGTACACACACAGTACACACAGCACACACACAGTACACACACAGTACACACACAGTACACACACACAGTACACACAGTACACACACAGTACACACACAGCACACACACACAGTACACACACACAGTACACACAGTACACACAGCACACACACAGTACACACACAGTACACACACACAGTACACACACAGTACACACACAGCACACACACACAGTACACACACAGTACTCACAGTACACACACTACACACACACAGTACACACACACAGTACACACACACAGTACACACACAGTACACACACAGTACACACACACAGTACACACACAGTACACACACAGTACACACAGTATACACACACAGTACACACACAGTACACACAGTACACACACACAGTACACACACACTCTACACACACACACAGTACACACACAGTACACACAGTACACACACACAGTACACACACAGTACACAAACACAGTACACACACAGTACACACACACAGTACACACACAGTAAACACACAGTACACACACACAGTACACACAGTAGACACAGTACACACACACAGTACACACACACACACAGTACACACACACAGTACACACACACAGTATACACACAGCACACACACAGTACACACACACAGTACACACACACAGTACACACACCGTACACACACAGTACACACACAGTACACACACAGTAAACACAGTACACACAGTACACACACAGTACACACACAGTATGCACACAGTACGCACACAGTAGGCACACAGTACGCACACACACAGTACACACACAGTACACACACACAGTACACACACAGTACACACACACAGTATACACACAATACACACACACACAGTACACACACACAGTACACACACAGTACACACACACAATAAACACAGTACACACACAATACACACACACACAGTACACACACACAGTACACACACACAGTACACACACACAGTATACACACAGTACACACACACAGAACACACACAGTATACACAGAACACACACACAGTACACACACAATACAATCACACACACAGTACACACACACAGTACACACAGCACACACACAGTACACACAAAGTACACACAGTACACACACACAGTATATACACAGTACACACAGTACACACACAGTACACACACAGTACACACAGTATATACACAGTACACACAGTACACACACAGTACACATACACAGTACACACAGTACACACACACAGTACACACAGTACACACACACAGTACACACAGCACACACACACAGTACACACACAGTACACACACACAGTATATACACAGTACACACACACAGTACACACACAGTACACACAGAGTACACACACACAGTGTACACACACAGTACACACACAGTACACACACACACAGAACACACACACAGTACACACACACAGTACACACACTGTACACACAGTATATACACACACACACACAGTACACACAGTACATACACACACAGTACACACACAGTACACACACAGTACACACACAGAACACACACACAGTACACACAGTACACACACACACAGTACACACACACACACATTACACACAGTACACACAGCACACACACACAGTACACACACACAGTACACACACACACAGTACACACACAGTACACACAGTACACACACAGAACACACACACAGTACACACACAGTACACACAGTACACACACAGTACACACAGCACACACACAGTACACACACAGTACACACAGCACACACACAGTACACACACACAGTACACACACACAGTACACACACACAGTAAACACAGCACACACACACAGCACACACATAGCACACACACAGTACACACACACAGTCCACACAGTACACACACAGTACACACACACAGTACGCACACAGTACACACAGATCACACAGTACACACACACAGTACACACACACAGCACACACACACAGCACACACACACAGCACACACACACAGTACACACACAGCACACACACAGCACACACACACAGTACACACAGTACACACACAGCACACACACAGTAAACACACAGCACACACACAGTACACACACAGTACACACAGCACACAGTACACACAGCACACACACAGTACACACACAGTACACACACAGTACACAGTACACACACAGTACACACACAGCACACAGTACACACACACAGTACATACACACATTACACACAGTACACACACACAGTACACACAGCACACACATAGCACACACATAGTACACACAGTACACACAGCTCACAGTACACACAGCACACAGTACACACACAGTACATACACAGCACACAGTACACAGTACACACACACAGTACATACACACATTACACACAGTACACACAGTACACACACACAGTACACACAGCACACACATAGCACACACATAGTACACACAGAGCACACACACAGCACACACACAGTACACACACACAGTCCACACAGTACACACACAGTACACACACACAGTACGCACACAGTACACACAGATCACACAGTACACACACACAGCACACACACACAGTACACACACAGCACACACACACAGTACACACAGCACACACACAGTACACACAGCACACACACAGCACACATACAGTACACACACAGCACACACACAGTACACACACAGTACACACAGCACACACAGTACACACACACAGTACACACAGCACACAGTACACACAGTACACACAGCTCACAGTACACACAGCACACAGTACACACACAGCACACACACAGTACACACAGCACACAGTACACACACAGTACACACACAGTACATACACAGCACACAGTACACAGTACACACACAGCACACAGTACACACACAGTACACAGTACACACACAGTACACACAGCACACAGTACACACACAGTACACACAGCACACAATACACACACGGTACACACACAGCACACAGTACACACACAGTACACACAGCACACAGTACACACACAGTACACACACAGTACACAGTACACACACAGTACACACAGTACACACACAGTACACAGTACACACACAGTACACACACAGTACACACACAGTACACACAGTACACAGTACACACAGCACACTCTCGCTGCGTGTGTATGCGAGTGTGTGTGCATGTAAGTGTGAATGCATGCGTGTGTGTGTGTCCGCGTGTGTGTGCGTGTGTGCATATGTGTGTGTACGCACGTATGTGCGTGTGCGTGTATGTGTGAATGCTTGTGTGTACATGCGCATGCGTGTGTGTGTACGTGTGTGTACATGTGTGTGTGTGCGATTGCGTGTACATGCGTGTATGAATCCGTGCTTGTTTGTGTGTGTGTACGTGCGTGTGTGTGTACGTGTGTGTACGTGTGTATGTGTAGGAGGTCTGCCCCGTGACCTCCTGCCAGCGGGCGTTCGACACTTCACGTGGCCTCAAGGTGCACATGGCCTGGCACAAGCGTCGTGGTGACGTTGTTGTTGTGTGTCACTGTGTGTGTGTCACTGTGTGTGTGTGTCACTGTGTGTGCGTCACTGTGTGTGTGCGTCACTGTGTGTGTGTACGTGTGTGTGTGTGTGTGTCACTGTGTGTGTATGTGTGTGTGTCACTGTGTGTGTGTGTCACTGTGTGTGTGTGTGTGTACGTGTGTGTGTCACTGAGTGTATGTGTCACTGTGTGTGTGTATGTGTGTGTCCCTGTGTGTATGTGTGTGTATGTGTATGTGTGTCACTGTGTGTACCACTGTGTGTGTATCACTGTGTGTGTGTGTCACTGTGTGTGTGTGTGTCACTGTGTGTGTGTGTTAGGTGCTCGCTAACAGCACTTGCCCCTACAGTCTGTTACAGGCTATATGGGGGATCTTTGGTTTGATCTTTGGTGTGTGTGTCACTGTGTGTGTGTGTGTATCACTGTGTGTGTCACTGTGTGTGTGTGTACACTGTGTGTGTGTGTTTGTCACTGTGTGTGTATCACTGTGTGTGTACACTGTGTGTGTGTACACTG